AAGAGCAAAAATGAACTATTGGGACCTCATCAAGGTAGAAAGCTTCTGCACTGCAAAGGAAACAACAAAACTAAAAGGCAACCGACGGAATGGGAAAAGATATTTGTAAGTGACATATTGGATAAAGGGCTAGTATCCAAAAATCTATAAAGAGCTCACCAAACTCCACACCCGAAAAACAAATAATCCAGTGAAGAAATGGGCAGAAAACATGAATAGACACCTTGCCAAAGAAGACATCTAGATGGCCAACAGACCCATGAAAAGATGCTCAACATCGCTCCTCATCAGGGAACTACAAATCAAAACCACACTGCGATAACCACCTCACGCCTGCCAGAGTGGCTAAAATGAACAAATCAGGGGACTATAGATGCTGGCGAGGGTATGGAGAAACAGGAACCCTCTTGCACTGTTGGTGGCAGTGCAAACTGGTACATCCGCTCTGGAAAACAGCATGGAGATTCCTCAAAAAATTAAAAATACAACTACCCTACGACCCAGCAATGGCACTACTAGGAATTTTCCAAGGGATACAGGAGTACTGATGCATAGGGGCACATGCGCCCCAATGTTTATAGCAGCACTTTCAACAATAGCCAAATTATGGAAAGAGCCTAAATGTCCCATCAACTGACGAATGGATACAGAAGATGTGGTTTATATATTCAATGGAATACTACTTGGCAATGAGAAAGAATGCAATCCTGCCATTTGCAGCAACATGGATGGAACTGGAGGGTATTATGCTGAGTGAAATAAGCCAGGCAGAGAAAGACAGATACCATATGTTTTCACTCATATGTGGATCTGGAGAAACTTAACAGAAGACCAAGGGGGAGGGGAAGAGGAAAAAAAAGTTACAGAGAGGGTAGGAAACAAACCATAAGCGACTCTTAAATACTGAGAACAAACTGAGGGATGATGGGGGTGGGGGAGAGGGGAAAGTGGGTGATGCGCATCGGGGAGGGCACCTGTTGGGATGAGCCCTGGGCGTTGTATGGAAACCAATGACAAGAAATTATATTAAAATAAATAAATGCAAGCCATTCCTCTCAATGAGCATGTGCTCTGTGCAGAGAAAGACTCACACGGGAGAGCATGAAGCTGCATTTCCCCCCACCTTTCACTGTGTAAACATCTCACTATCACATGTGACTTCTGTGTTTAAAATAAATATTGTTCATAAGTAGTGAATTCTAAACTAAGTCAACTATTTTGTCTACTCTTAACTGAAAAATGTGTTCCAATCCTATAGGAACATTAGCTGTGTTGACCTTAGAACCTGTATGTTGATGTCCTTTATGCTGTGGCTTCCTAAGGGGTTTCAGAGGTAACATGACAGTCCGAGAATGAAGCTGACTGGAGACCTTTTGTCCTACAAAAGCAATCAAAATTAGTAAGAGTCTGAATCACTGCCTTCAGGAAGCTTATCATCTAGAAGGATCATCTCTAAAACAAGTCGCAGTAGAAGATGTAAGGAATCATAAGCAGCAATTGCATGTTAGAATGGCCCCAGTTTCAAGGGTTGTGTTCCATTGTCCCCATAAATACATACAATTATGTTTGTCAAGCAACAGGTTCAGATTATTTGGCCTAGAAAAAATGGGATTGATATCTTTTTTTTTTTTTTTTAAGAAAGCATGTACAAGCAGGGGAGGAGGCAAAGGGAGGAAAAGAGAGAATCCCAAGCAGCCTCATGCTCAGCATGGACCCTGGTGTGGGGCTCAGTCCCATGACCCTGGGATTGACCTGAGCAGAAATCAAGAGTCAGACACTCAACTGACTGAGCCACCCAGGTGCCCCGTATTGATATCTCTAAAGAGAATATGAGAGAGTGAAATGGCTTTATCCATAAAAGTTTCTTGCAAGTACTGAATTGTGATTTAATAGCTGCAGAGAGAAAAGGCAGAAAGGCATTTCAGACATGGCAAGTGTTAAAAGCATCAAACATCGAGGTGTGGTTGATCAAGCAAAACTGTTTGTCTTTTCCTTTGGCCAAATGATTGGGGACACACTGGAGTGTCACAGGAGGTGAGAATAATAAGGAACGTGGCCGTAGACTGAGGAGTTAAGATAAATTCTCTAGACCATTATCTGTTCCTCGTATCCCACTCATGATCTTTAGCTGAGAACACTGAGACCATTTTAGATGGCATTCTAACCCATCTCATGGTTACATTTAAATTGTGGAGTTGATTGTAAACACCATTTTTAGAATGATTTTTCTGTCTTGTGTAAAAATCATATTGGACATGGCTACATGCTTATTTTTGTAATCCCTTTTGGGAGTCACTGTGATGTAATAAAAAAGGAGCCAGGAAACCCGGAGTATGGCACCACTCCACCATCTGTTAGCTCTGTGACCTTAGGCCACTCGCTTCACCTCTCTGAGTCTTAGTCCTCACTTATAAAATGGCAGACCGGACCTTTACATGTTATACTTTGTTTGCTTTCTTTTCATTAATTTTCTTCTTATTGTTATGAAACAGATCTGTTCTCCTTAATGGAGGGTTGGGAGCTGAAAGCCCCACCTGCCTACCCATCCGCACTTTTCCAGAGTTCTTCCCAAGAGTCCTAAGACTCAGAAGAACACAAGTGGAGAATCCCTGGACCACATCCCTAAGGTCTCTTCTAGAATGAACATCTTCTATACTTACATTGATAGACTGAGTATAATTTCTTTTTTTTAAATATATTTTTTAATGTTTATTTTGAGAGACAGAGCATGAGTGGGGGAGGGGCAGAGAGAGGAGACACAGAATCCGAGGCAGGCTCCAGGCTCTGAGCTGTCAGCACAGAGCCCGATGTGGGGCTCGAACCCACAGACTGCGAGGTCATGACCTGAGCTGAAGTCAGACGCTCAACCAACTGAGCCACCCAGGTGCCCCTGAGTAGAATTTCTTAAAAACAATTTTGAGGAGATACTGCAATACTAACTGTAATACAACCTATTGTACATTTACTCCATATAATATTAGGTGTAGTAGGAAATATGAAGAGAACAGAGCATAAATACACTTGGCATACACTTGAGTAAGAGGGGAACAGAAGAGAGCCTCTGTAACTGTTTATAACCCAACTCATATAGACATTCAAGACAACGAATATGTCTGCTTTAAGATTGCTAGGGAGATTAAGAAAAAAAAGAAAATGAGTTTGTTTAATTTTGTAAGATTTAAGAAATTTTTTATTTAGAGGTGCCTAGGTCGCTCGGTTGAGCATCCAGCTTCGGCTCAGGGCATGATCTCACGGCTCGTGGGTTCAAGCCCCACATTGGACTCTGTGCTGACAGCTCGGAGCCTGGAGCCTACTTCAGATTCTGTGTTTTCCTCTCTCTCTCTGCCCCTGACCTGCTCGTGTTCTGTCTCTGTCTCTCTCAAAACTAAACCTTAAAAAAAAGAATTGAAAAATATTTTTAAATTTATTTTTTGAATGTGAGATAGTCCAAAAAGAACATAAAGGGGCACCCTACTGTTGATTTTGGCTCAGGTCATGATCCCATGAACCCGTGAGATGATCTCACAGGTTCGTGGGATCAAGACCCCCATTGAGCTCTACACTGACAGTGTGGAGCCTGCTTGGGATTCTCTCTCTGCCTCTCTCTCTGCCTCTCTCCCTGCCTCTCTCTCTCTCTCTCTCTCTCTCTCTCAAAATAAATGAACATTTAAAAAATGTTATTTCAAAAAATCAAAAGGAAATGAGCTGAAAAGACTCCTGATACGATGATGGCTGTCCTTCCAGAAGCTCCCTTCTCTGGAGGCAGTCACTATGACCAGCTGGGTAAGCTTCCAGAGTGTATGGAATCACTCCCAGATTTCTGAGAGTATTTATTTCCTGTGGCTACTCTGACAAATGAGCAAAAACCGGGTGGCTTAGGACAACAGAAATGTATTTTCCCACAGTCCTGGAGGCCAGAAGTTTGAAAGCTGTATCACTGGGCTGAAATCAAGGTGTTGGCAAGGCTGCACTCCCTCCGGAGGTTCTTGGGGAGAGTCCCTCCCCTTCTGGAGCCAGTATGTTGCCAGCCAATCCTGATTCCTTGGTTTGTGGCCCCATCACTCCAATTTTTGAGGCCAGCACCTCAAATCTCCCTCTGCTCTGTCTTCGCACAGCCTTCGTGCACGCGTGCGTGCATGCGTGCGTGTGTGTGTTATGTAGCCTCCCTCTACTTCTCTCGTCTGCGTATGTGTGACTGCATTTAGAGCTCACCTGGACAAATACTGGGTAATCTTACTATCTCAAGATCCTCAACTTAATCACTTCTGTAAAGACTCTGCCACATAAGGTAACATTCACAAGTCCCAGGGATTACAATGTGAATATCTTCCGGGGGCGTGGGGTGGGCATTTTTCAGCCTACTACAACAGTAAAACAAGTAGCATACTGTACAGACTTTTCTGGACCTCGCTTCTAAGTGTAAAACTGGAATAACCTAACGTTAATTCACTACCAGTTAAGTGATTGTAATCCATAGAGTGGAATATGGTGTTATTACTAGGAATGAGGTGGATATACTACTGATATGGAACCATATTCACTGTAAAGTAAAAGCAAGTTGCAGCAGTACATATGAGTTAGGTGAGAACTTGGAAAGATACATGTCAAACTTGAGTGGCATCCCTTAGGGAGTGGACTTTTTAATGTTATGTTTGTACTTTGGAATTTATTTTTTTTAAGATTTGTTTTATTTATTTTGCTGGGGGGGGGGG